AATATGAATCAGTTGTGTTTGCTTTATCTAGGGAAGAATGACTGTTAACAGGAGGGGGCTGGCTGAACACAGCAGGAATTTGGCAGTTGGGGGGTGGGAGGAAGGAAGTAACTGGCAGCCACTGAAATCCTCTATTATGGGACAGGATGCTTCATCAGAGACTGTGGGGCCTGGGAATCCCTATGCTCTGATTTCACGCTCATCAAGCAGCCTATAAGGGACCTAGAACAATGGAAGGGGCTGCTGAGATTGGAGTAAATAGTCTTTGGAGAGATCTAGTCCTTCTTATAAAGTAATAACTTAGCATTCTGGTTTAGATTTCAGGTCTTTGAGGACAGCAGGTGTGAGTCTGTCCTCCCATAATGCAACCAATTCCAGTGGTTCTGGATCAGCGAAGCAGAACCCTGATCTAGACGTGTGATGAGCATGCCAAGGCTCTCTGTCCATTCTGACCATCCTGTCTGGTGGACAGTCAGTCTTCTTGGATCACAGCTCTGACGATCTCCCATAGTGACAGTGGACATAAAGCTTTTTTCTTTTATTTAAATGAATAAGTTACTTGTGGCATGTAGGGTAGTAGTCTGGTTCAAGGGCAGATGCAGCCCTATACCGGGACTGGAGAGAATAGGGGTTCTTGTCTTGGTGTTACCACTAGCCACACCTTTGAAATTTCAAACTATTTAACCTCGGTCTAGGTTTCCTCATCTATACACTGAAGGGATTTCACCTTATTATCTTTGTAATTTTCCCAAGGCCGCTAAGCTGATCAGTGACAATTGGACCTTTACTCCATTACCCTCGTCCTACTTTACTTCTCTCTGTGTAAACTCGGGAGCAGAGCATGGGTTGGTAAGGGGAATGTCCCAAGGAAAAAGTAAGATAGTTTGAAGTGGATTCCGCTTCTCCTTAACTGGTTGGAATCAAGGTAGATTATGCTTAGATTTTTGTTAGCTACGTGAAAACCTTATAAATTAGGAATTATTTCAACCACAGCCCAGCCTCCAACCTTCTTCATCTCAGTGGACACGTGTTGAGAATGATAATGATAGAAAATTATATATATTACATACTGGGATAAACACATGGAGCTGCATGTGGCCACCCCAAGGGATGAGGGACTCAATATTTTGGCCCCACCTGTAACATTTGCCTAAATACACTGGCTGGAATGCTACGTCACCAGCCCTCTCAAACCAGGGCGCTACCAGGAATAAAACTAGATTCAGTTATCTCCTCTTCCTGTGATCTATCTCTGATTAGTAGAATAATTTCTTCTCATCCAAAACTAGAGATGCAGGTCACAACTTCCCTCTGTTCTCTATTATGTAATGATGGTTTAGTGCATAAGGGCTGCTGGTCGGAAGGAACATGCTTCTTTGGTTTGGTGTCTTTCTGTAAAGGAAGGGCATCTTCTATAGCAATATACACAGTATTGCCTATTTTGTTGTTGCTTACTTCTATATTTATCATGACTACTGTCTTCTTTCAGCATGATTTATTGAATGGTATAATAGGCTTTGTTCCTTAATGATTAACATCCTAACAGATGGTAAGGAAGCCAACTTCCATCATTTGATACATTCTAGCAATCTTTTTGTATGTACCATAGAAAGCAGAGTCATCCTTATAAAGTCTTTTCCAGTAGTAATAGTCGAAATTTTAAGTCCCATCTCCAAATCTCCTAACTTTGCATTGTTAATACATAATAACTTACTTGAATGCCACTGTTCTGACAGCAGAGATGGAAGATCAGTCCAGTTAGTACATTTTTTCTTGTTGTTTACTTTTTAAATGAAATGTAGATTACATACAATAAAGTGCTAGTGCATTTTTTTGCACAGCCCCTTAGCTCAAGTCTGCTCATGTTTGCATGCCTTCCGCAGGTGTTTTTGGCAAACCTCTCGAGTATGAGGGACCATACTTGATCTTTTTAAAAAAAATTATTCAGTTTATTTATTTAATGTTTTATTTTTGGGGGGTGAGGTAGTTAGGTTTATTTATTTACCTTTGGAGGAAGTACTGGGGATTGAACCCAGGACCTTGTGCATGCTAAGCATGTGCTCTACCACTTGAGCTATTTTCTGCCCCCATACTTGATCTTCTTTCTTCTCATTTTCTTTTTCTCACCTTATGATTGTTATCTCTTCCTTTCCTATTTCTCTGAACCTGAATCTGTTTTTTTTCATTTTTGGCACATTCCGCTTAAATTTCCTCCTTTCTCCTTTCCTCATTTTCTCTCTTCCACTTATTACTTAGTCTGTATTTCTCTATACCATTTCTTTATTTCCATGGTAATAATTACATTCATTACTCTTCCCCACATTCACTAGGGGTTGCTAAGCTTCTAATCTGTGGAGGCTTATCATTCCCACCTCATGACAGGCCCTCCTTCCTACTTTGCTGATTCCACATCTGATGGGTGAGGTTACTAGGGGTGGATTGTGAAGGCAATTCCTAGTTTCAGTGTCCGAGGAGCAGGGTTTCCTAGCCAATGAGGAAGTCAGTGGTCTTACTAAAGACCAAGATGAGAAATGCAACCACAGTATGAGAACAATAGGGGTGGGGAAATGTTAGCAACCAAGATGTGGGGCTGGTGGTTCCAAGTGGGAGGTAGGATGATAGATTTGGAGAAAGTCTAAGAGCTAATGAGTAAGATACTGAAAGAGCTATTTTTATGATTCTAGTTCTAGTTACCTCTTATCGTGTAACAAACCACCCCAACTTCAGTGGCATAAAACAGCACAAACCATTCACTATTATTACCTCTCACAATTGTGGGGTTGATTTGGTTTTTTTGGGGTTAATTAGGTCTCTTATGTGGTTGCAGTCAGATAGGGGGGCTGGGGTTAGAATCTGGGGTTCATACTGGCTGTCAGCTAGGGCTTCAGTTGGGGCTGTCAGTCAGAACACCTCCATGTGACTTCTCCATGTGATCTGGGCTTGTGTACAGCATGACAGCTGGGCTCCAAAAGCAAGTATCCAGAGAAAAATCTAGGAGGATACTGCATTGCCTTTTATGATCTAGTCTTAGAAGTTACATAGTATCACTTCTCTATACTCTGTTGGTTGAGGTAGTCACGAAGGTCACGAAGGTTCAAGGGGAAGAGACATAGACTCCACCTCTTGATGGGAGATGACAAGAACACATTGTTAAAAGAGCATGTGGGATGGGAGATACTGTTACGGCCATCTTTGAGCCATATGGTCTGCCAGAGTCTGCCCTCTGCCAGCTGACTTACACCCCTTCTGCCTGCAAAATACACTCATCCCCTCCCCAAGACCCCCAAGTCTCAATGCTTTATGGCATCAGGACAGGTTGGGAGGAACCAACACAGAGGAATTCCCTCATGACTCTCTCTGTCCTTTGCTTTGATCAGAGAGAGTTTCTCTGGGACTTTTTCCTGTCTGTGCAACTTAAGCAGTTCTGAGTTTCAGACTGTCCTGCGTCTGTGACAAGAGATGTGGAAGGGAAAAAACCCCAGGACGCTCACTATCTTATTGGACTTTCTTGGAGTTTTGACTTCCCTTTCCAGTCTACCTGCTACTATTTCCTTTCAGAGTCTTCATTAGTTGCCCTATGTATTCTGTCTAGAGTTTTTAGATGAATTCAGTGGGAGAGAGATTGTGGGATCTGCTCACTCTATCTTGACTGGAACCAGATCCATAAGCCATTTCTTAATTTTGGATGTGTTTGTCACCTGGGAATGAGAAACCATTTTATTTTCAAACTGAGCAAGACCTGTCACCTTTATATTTAAGTGTTTGTTCTTTAACTTATCTTCATACACTCTCATTTTATGGTAGGCAGCTGGAAGAGGCCAGGTGGCACTTCCCGGACTGTGCTTGAACATTCCATTGGCTAGATCACACAGTTCATTGGTACGTTTTCTATTTCCTGAGTTATCATGGGTATCGGTGTTGCTAAACTTCCCACCACTATATAAAAAAGCCTCCTTTCTTCCAGATTCCAATGACAGTTTCCTCATGTTTATTTTAGTCTTCACTAACAGACCTTCAAGGCCGGCCCAAAGGCAGTGCACGAGTTTTAGGTTTTTATTACCCCCACTCTGGTTCCAGAATCTGTATCAGTTAGAGTTTGATCAGAGGAGCAAAACCACTCCGAGGTAAACAAGGAACTTACTGTGGGGGTTAGAACATGCCTGATGACAGGAGCTGGTTATGCTCTCTTTGCAGTCCACTCTCCCTGAGTCAGGACTTGGGCCTGAAGTCAGCAGGACGGACCAGCTTCATGCGGAGAGGTTGCATGTGAGCTGGACACGTGAAGACAGCAGGCACACCCCGGAACCTGCCTGGTGGATGAGCTGGAACCCATGTGTCCCACCTCCGTCTCTCATGCTGCCAGTCCTCCAATTTGATGACGAAGATGATCTGCAGAAGAGCTGGTGCCCTTTGTAATGGAGTTACACACAGTCCTTTAGGATTCAGAGATGCTGAAGAAGCAGTTGGAGGAACTGGAGGCCAAGCTGTTGCCTGCAGAGGCACTGCCTTGTGTTTGAGCTGACATAGAATCTGACCCTGCACCAACCTTCTGGCTTCCGACAAACGTGGCTGCCATTCCACTGCTGCTTTCCACCTGTTGCTCAGGTTTTGTGGGATGCATATTTCCAGCTCAGCTACACTGACATCATACAAAACTGCAAAATCTCAAAGCCGCCGGCAAGGAATTAGGAGCATAGCCCGAGAATGCACAGTGTTTGTCCATCTGTAATGGTAGACTGGCCAAATATTTGAGAATGTGTGTGGATCAAGTTCAAAGAACTCAGGCAAAGGTAGGAAAAAGTTAGTATTTAATAAATCATTGATATTAGATATCTAACAAATGAAAATGAATAAATGTCCAGAATAAATTTGAATAAAATTATCAAAAATGATTATTAATGCTATTCCTGTGTATGCCAAACGAAGATGTTAATCGGTTTTCTGCATTCGTTTGCTAGGACAGCCACAACAAAGTGCCACAGACGAGGTGACTTAAGCAACAGAAATTTATTTTCTCATGGTTCTGAAGCTGGAGGTCTGAGATCAAGATGTCAGCAAGGTTGGTTTCTTCTGAAGCCTCCCCCTTGGCTTGCAGATGGCTGCCTTCCTGCTGTGCGTTCAGATGGTCATCTCTCCGTGCCTGCACCTGTTGGTGTCTGTGTCATCCTAATCTCCTCCTCTTATAAAGACACCAGTCATTGGATCAGGGCCTACTCTGAAGACTCCACTTTAACTTAATTACCTCTTAAAAGGTCCTGTCTCCAAATACAGTCATGTTCTGAGGTACTGAGGCTTAGGACTTCAACATACGAATTTGGAGGGGGAGGTAATTCAGCCTGTATCATTTGCCGCAGTACAATAAAGTTTGAGAAATGCTACATGCTCTGTTTTCTTCTTGGAAATTCACAAAGTCCATTTGTATGTGAAAGATGACACAAAGTCTTGAAAAATATCGAAGATTCATCTTTCACACACCCCATTGCTTTATTCCTTAATTGTCAATAATCCTAAACTGCCTTTCGTCTTTTGTACATTGGCTGTAGCGTTGAATGATTGCGTGGTGATCCCGTCCGCCGGCTGGTGCTGACGGTCAGGCAGGGAGATGGACGTGAGGTGGAAGAAAGCGAGTACAAACCAGAACCCGGGTCTGACTCTCATCAGAACCTGTGTTGGGCTCTCACCCCGTCCAAGCTTCAAGCTCTGGAGGTGCTTGGTGAGTAGCTGTAGAAGAGCTGTGCTGAGAGATCACTTTGTAAGTGGGAAGAGGGTTGGCCTTTGCCACATGGAATTGCCCTTCCACCAGTACTAAGGGCATCTTCCGGATAGCTAGGGGCTGGGAATGTCCTTGCTCACCTATAGCCGCTGGCCAGGGTGAGTGGCCTTGCATGGCCCAACTTCTGCTCATGTCTTTGTCTTCTTGTTCTTTGCAGGTGAGGCGAAGAGCAGAGCTGTGGACGCCACTGGGGTGTGACAGGCAGCTGGGCAAGGATCCATCCAGGAAGGTGAGGCCGGGTCTGAGTGGGTGGGGATGAGTAATAAAGGTTACTGGCCTTGCATGGCCAGCTAGTTCTGCAGTGGCAGTGGCAAAAAGAGTCCCCTGCCACGCCCTGGTTCCAGATTCCACATCAGCCGTGTAGGTGTTTACACCACCTGCTCGGGCCTTTCCTGAGTCGTGGCCTACTTTCTGCTTCCTCTTCTTCCCTGTACAACCTAATGCTCATTTCAACTAGAGTCCTTTCCCTGGGCCCTGGGTCCCATTCTGAACAACTCCTGTGGCTGTGGCCTTGCACGAATTGTCTGAGGCAGACCCCAGACTCACTCTACACCTCAGCCGAATGAGGACCCGCCCTGCCACCCTGGCACCTGTGGAAGCAGGTGGTTCTCTCTGTTCCTGTAGTGCTCGTCCTGAATCACCTCCCGGTGCCCTGGGCAGGATTTGTCCGTTTCTGCTGTCAGCTGGGCTTTCACACTGGTCTTCGCAGCCTAGTGAAGGGTCTACGCTTTAATGAAGCGTGTGTCTCAGCAGTGACTGGTCCATCAGGTTGGCACAGGAGTAACTGCTTCTCCGGGGCAGGGCACAGAGCGAGTGGCTCCACGTGCACTATCTCTGCTCCTCACGATGGCCCGGAGAAGACGAGCTCCTGGAGAGCAGCTTCTCGTGGCCAGAGTCTGTCCGAGCGTTGGCTTGGGCCCCGGCCTGTCTCCCGACTCCAGGGCCATGGCCCTCGCACAAGCCTCACAGCCCTTCTGGCTTATGTTAAAACAGCCGGAGCCCCGCATTGTCCTCACTCTCTACGGATTTACTGCATTTCCCCATAAATCACAGTTCAACATCCCCCCAGTAGCCTCTGTCAGAATGCTCCCCGTGAGATTCCAAACACTCAAGTTACACGAAAACCACTCCTATTCCGAACCCCATTCCCGCTGAACTGCTTTGGGAAATATATATATATATATATATATATTTATACCTCTTTAAAAATTGAAGTATACTCAGTTTATAATGTGTCAATTTCTGGTGTACAGCACAATGCTTCAGTCATACATCAACATATATATATTTATTTTCATTATCTTTTTCACTGTAAGCTACTACACGATATTGAATATAGTTCCCTGTGCTTTATATACAGTATAAACTTGTTTATCTGTTTTATATATACCAGTCAGTATCTGCAGAAACAGACTCACAGACACAGAAAGCAAATTTATGGTTACCAGGGGAGAAGGGGATGGGAAGGGATAAGTTAGGAGTTTGAAATTTGCAGATACTAATGGGAAATATATTGTTTCTAAATGAAAACTGCCACATAAATGTGAGAGGAGGTGCGATGCCCCTCTCTCCCTGCACAGCCTCCATCTGCTACCTGTGCGGCTTTCTTTTCCAGAATCTCCCTTTCTCATCACTGCCTCAGACAGACCGCCCCCTGCCTCTCACAGAGGGTATCGGCATCTTCAGCCGACATCCCTTAAAACCTTATACACATCTTTTCTTTATATATTTTAAAAACAAAATAACACATTTAAGGACATACCAGTTTAACTAAATAGGCTTAATTGTGGGGGTTATCGCAGCAGTGTTTGTTAGGTGGAGTTTGGCTTTCTTGTTTCACGGCATTAAGAGAGGCTAGGTGGAAGACTTTATATTCCTTTAGGTCAGTTTACAAGGCAGTTTTACAAATGTTCTCATTGGGCCTTTAAGAATCTCTAAGAGGGTTAGACAAGTTGATATTTTACAGAAGAGGATCCCAGCTCCATGTGGGTAAGTGACTGTCCATGGTCCTGCAGCTGATTTGGAGAGAGGGGGTCTTCTGGTCTAAGATTAGTGCACTTTGAATCCACCACAGACCAAATTCATGTCCCTTTTATCCAGAGGGTGACTGACTTCTGTGGACCAGTGAGCCATAATGAAAGAAAACCTCATTCTCCTTCCCCCATTCACAAAAAAACAAGAATTCTGGACTGTGCATACTGTTTCGCCGGCTGTCAAATGACAACAGAGCTATGGCTGAAATGACCACGAAGCCGCCTTGAATTGCGTTGAATCTGGGAGGTAGATGGAGCACACCATCTCTTCCTCCAGCTTCCTAGTCTTCTGGTACGCAGGTAAGGAACATCGATTTGCACTGAATGCAGGAGGAATCGCCAGGTCAGTGGGGGTCAGCCTCCAGAAAGCTTCTCATTTCCTTGCTGCTGCCAGAAAGGAAAGAAAGAGCCTTGGATCCAATCTCTCTCCAGGGATCCTTTTATAGGTAAAAGATACAGTCTGAGAGTCTATGCCCTCCTACTGGTTTTGTCCATGTTAAGTGAGACCTTACGGAACAAAGCAGCCATGCAAAGAGCTGCAGAAGAATGTTCTAGGAAGAGAGAACAGGAAATGGAAAGCCCTGAGGAGAGAATGAACAGGGCAAGTTTTAGACACAGGAAGGAGACCAGTGTGATGAAAGCAGGGTTCAACAAACTTTTCTTGCAAAGGGTTAGATAGTAAATATTTTAGGCTGTTAGGGCCACTTTGTCTCGGGTGCAACTCCTCTGCTCTTGTAGTACAAAAGCCGCCCTGGATAGTGCACAAACGAATGAGCATGCCTGGCTCCCAATAAAACTTGATTTCTGGACACTGGACGTCTGATAATTGAACTGTCTATCATTTTCACATGTCACAAAATAACGTTCTTCTTTTGATGTTTTCCCCAACCGTTTAAAAATGTAAAAGCCATTCTCAGCTCAGGGCCTGTCGGCTGGATTTTGCCTATGGACTGTAGTTTGCTGACCCCTGGACTAAAGCATGGCAAATGAGTTGGGGTAAGAGAGGGGAATCCCAGATGGGGTGAGAGAGGGAGAGGTAGGCACAGGCCAGACCACATGCAGGGGTTTTGTAGGCCACTGAAGTGAGTGTGGATTTTATTCTAATTGCTATGGGAAATGTCTCTGCACACTTTAGGCAGGAGTGTGATATGTTTTATAACAGTCTGGTACATGTAGGTCCAGAGTGGATAATATCATTCAAAGTGAGAGGACACATGCTCAAGTCGTGTTAATGACTCTGTGAGAGGATATGTGTGTATGTGTGTATTCATATTCTTGCTGAACCACATGAAATAGCTGAAGTTTTTCTACTGATTAAGATTTATCAAGATCATTGGCGTTATTGGTACTCTGAAAACACATTTAGTTTTCATCTATTTAGTGGTCTTCATTAAAAGCATTAATACATAAATCAAACCATCATATTGTACACCTTAAAGTTATACAGTGATGTATGTCAATTATTTCTCAATAAAACTGGAAAAAAAGAATTAATACATCAAAAAAGATTTTTAAAAAATTATCCTTAGCTATAGGGAGAAAAAAATAACAAACTTACTTGTAACTTTGCCAGAATTAATAAAGAACTAGTCTTCATGTGCCATTCCATATCCTCCCTATCTCTTGATCTCACTTGGCACTGAATCAGAATTAAAATGTATGAAACACCAAAGTCAGGAATTGGCTGGATATTGGCAAATTATCAACCTGAAAAAGGGGATGAATCACCCTGGACCCCATATGGGACCACATAAGACCATGAGGTTGAGATGAGAGATGATAAAAATCTAACCAGCCCAGAATCTAGGTGTTCAGTAGACAGTTGTAGGGTTAAAGAGTTTATACCTACTTGACTTTGTGAACTTAGAAAGGTAGAGGTGGTTAGTCAGTACTTACTGATATTGTATATACTGCAAAAGCATAAATCTGACCACAGTTCTTGGCCTCCGAAGGCTCTGGGGAGAGTCCTTCCCTGCCTCGTCAATTTCTGGTGGCCCCAAGGATCCCTTGGCTTGCAGCGCCATCGCTGTACGCTCTGCCTTTGTCTTCACATGAGCTTGTCTTCAGTAGGGTTATCTTCTCCTCTTCTGACTTCTGTAAGGACACTTGTCTTTGGATTGAGGGCCCACCAAGATGACCCAGAATGATTTCATTTCCAGATTCTTAACTGTCAAGATGTCTGCTGCCATCTTTGTTTGTGTTCCTTTTTGTATATCTTTCTCTTCTCTGGTTGCTCTTAAGGGTTTTCTCTTTATCATGTGTTTTCAGAAATTTGCTTATGATTTGCCTCGCTGTGTTTTATTGTTTGTTTGATTGTTTGTCCTGCTTAAGGTTTGTTGCGCTTCTTGCATCTATGGGTTTCTTCAAACTCAGAAAATTTTTGGTCATTATTTCTTCAAAGATTTTTTTTCTGGCCTCCCCTCTCCTCTTTCCTCTCTCTCTGGGATTTCAGTTATTTATATATAGGCCAGATTGCTTTGCATTGTCCCACAGGCTCACTCAGTCTCTGTTTATTTTTTCTCTGTCTTTTTTAAAAAAATAAATCTATGCTTCATTGTGGATAGATTGTATTACTATTTCTTCATATTCCCTTCATACCTAATCTGCTGCGAATCTTACCCAGTGAATTTTTTTAAACAATCTTTTATTTCAGAAGAGTCATAGATTTACAGAAAAAATTGCAAAGATAGTACAGAGAGCTTGTGTATACTCCTCACTGAGTTTCCCCTGTTGCCAACCTTTTACAGTACTGCAGTGCATTTGCTACAGCTGATGATATACCAACTCTGATATGTTACTATTAACTAAAGTCCATACTTTATTCAGATTTCCTTAGTTTTTACTCAGTGTCCTTTTTCACATCTAGGATGCCACATTAGGCTTGTAGCTCTCATGCCTCCTTAGGCTTCTCTAGGGGCCTGTGACAGTTTCTCATGCTTTTTTGTTTTGGATGAGTTTGACAGTTTCGGGGAGGTATTTTGCAGAATGTCCTCAGTTTGGGTTGGTCTGATGTTTTCCTCATGGTTAGACTGAATGTGTTATTTCTTTATTGTTGCAGTAACAAATTGCTACAAACTTAGTGGCTTAAACAACACAACGCAAATTTATTTCTTACAAATCTGTAAGTTGGAAGTTGCAAGAGTCTCACTGGGCCAGAATCAAAGTGTCAGCAGGGCTGTGTTCCTTTCTGAAGGTTCTGGGGGATTCAGTGTCCTTGCTTTTTCCAGCCTCTAGAGGCCACCTGCAGTTCCTTGGCTGGTGGTCTCTTAATCCATCTACAAACTGAGCAGTTCTTTCTGACTCTGCCTCCATCCTCATATCTCTCTCTCTCTGTCTCTGGTGACAAAGCAGTAAAATGTCTCCACTTTGAAGGACTCACGTGATTAGACTGGGTTCTCCAGATAATCCAGGATAATCTCTGAATCTCAAGGTCCACACCCTTAATCTCATCTGCATAGTCCCTTTTCCCATAAGGTAATATATTCAGGGGTAAAATATTTTGGGGGCCATTGTTCTGCCTACCACATTGGAGTTCTGAGTTTTTGAGAGGAGGAACACAGAGACATTCTTGTTACATTATGCTAGGGGTTCATGCTATCAACGTGATTTATCACTTATGATGTTAACTTTGATCACTTGGCAAAGGTAGTGTGTGTCAGGTTTCTCCACTGTAAAGTCACCTTTGCCCCTATTTCCATACTGTAGTCTTTGGAAAGAATTCACTGTATGCATCCCAAACTTAAGGAATGGGGGTTGCTACGCTCTACCTCCTTGAGGGAGCTGGACCTACATAAAATTATTTGAAATTCTTCTATATGAGTATTTGCATTAATTAATTAATTATTATTGAATTATATCAGTATGGACTCATAGATACTTATTCGACACTTTGGGTTATAATCCAGTACTTCTTTTTTCTTTTTTTGGTTCAGACTGTTTCAACATAGGTTTTTCAGTTGGCTCCTACGTCCCTTTGACATACCTCCATCATTTTCGGTTCTTTTTGAGAACTTTCTTGCTTTCTGGTCCCAGGTTCATCTTGCATTCTCCCTGCCCCAGCCCTAGAATCTATATTTTCTCCAAGAAGCTCTGGTTTCTTTTACTGGAGAATGGATTTAGAAACCAAGATCTGGTTCTGGATTCATCCAGTCAAACTTTCCTTTCAGATGGTGTACTTTTTATCTTAGAATTTTCATTTGGTTCTTTTTGATATATTCTCTTTTTTTTTTTCCCTCATTAGGGTCATATTTTCCTTTAAATATGTGTTCACAATTATAAGAGCTTTTGAAAAAATTTTGTCTGCTAGTTCCATCATCTCTGGCTTTTTATTTGTATCTATTCCTATTGCTTTTCTTCTTGATTATGGATCAAATTTTCTTACTTCTTCGCATGTTTAGTAATTTTTATTAGATTTTAGACATTGTGTATTTCATATTGCTGAATGTCTGAATTCTTTTTTTTTTTTTGTCTTACTTTAATGAGTTTTTGGCTTTGTTTAGGCAAATAGTTTTACTTGCATTTTAGCTTTATCCCTTTAAGACCTGTTTTTAATTTTTCTAAGAGGTATAGAAAGTAGCCTTCACTCCAAGGATTGTTCAGCCCTACCAGAGACATGTAAATGACCTGAATGTTCAGTAAGACCTCTCCATTCTGCCTGTTGGGAATTTGATCAGTTATAAGGTCTGTGTAAGCTCCGGGAATATGTCATTTACGATGCCCCAGCCATTCTTTGTCCAGCATTTTGGAGTACTTGTTTCTACATGCCTGGTCCAGTACTCAGCAAATATTAGAGGGGACTGTACAAATTTCTGGAGCTCTTTTTTTCTATGTAACTACCTTTTTTGAGAACTCTGCCTCACAGCTTCCAGCTGTCGAAGCTTCTCTGATGTCTGATCTTTGTTTCCTGCATTTCTTCCCTGGTTCTCTTCGGGTCCCCTGTCGCTGCAGCTGCAGAATGGAAACTGCCTCCAATGGAAAGTGCAGGGCTCACTTTATTTGATTCCCTTTTCTCTGGGATCACTGTCCTGTGCTGCCTGTTGTTCAATGCCTGAAAAACAGTTGTTTTGAGCGTTTTTCCAACTTTCTCGTTGTTTACTGCAGGTTGTCAAGTCTAGTCCTTACTACTCTTTCATGGCCAACCTATCCCTTCATTTCTTAATTGTGGTGACGTCTTGCTATAGATTTTCGCATTATATCTTCGTTCACATACTGTGCTAGACATCGGGGTGCCTTTTCAATTTGAAATGTCATGTTCCTCAAAATTTCCTGAGGAATTTTCTTATGCCTCTACTAATTTCCTG